CGAGCCGCGCCTCCCATCGGCCGAGGGCGGCGCCTGCGCGGGGCCTGGCGCGGCGGCGGGGCCTTTGAAGTCGCGGCGGCTGCCGCTTTCATCCTTTCTTCTTTCCCTCGCAGGCCCCTTTGTGTGACTAAATTTGGCGAGAATATGGATCCGAGCCAGTCTTTCCACGTGTGCTCCCAGCTCCCAGCTGAGAAGGCCAAGGGTTCTCTTCCGGGTAAGGAGACAGGGAGCGAGATCAAAGGGTTTGGGAAGCTGGATCTGAAATGTGAATTGAAAATAAAAATCAAGCCTGGACACATTCCAGTTTCTAAAGCAAAACCAACCCTCATCAGAGGCCTTCCCTCCCTCCGTGGCTCGCTCGCTCTCTGCTGCCTTTGACTCTGTCTCCTTTTCTTTGCTGCGACCGTTCCTGAGCACACGGAATGCAACGGGGACAACATAGGGAAACACTTACTTTCTCCAGATTTTGTTTTGCAGTCATTTTATTAGGGAAAATATCTTGTTCACAATTACCGGTATGCGAAGCCGAATTTTTTCAGCCATAAATATTGTCTTATTTCGGGATGCCTCGCACTTTCTTCTCCGGGCATATTTGGGACGAGAAGGCTGACACAACACGTGTGTGCACATGTTCATTGTGCATGACAGGGGGTTTTGTCTACACACAATGCAGTTCCCACGTAGTTTTCTTCCACAGAAGTTAGATTCTGGAAAACCAATGTTAGTGAATGTTTTTAGCAAAGCACTCAGTATCACAGTCGGTCTCTGTGATTTGAAATCCCTGTATTGATAGACAGCAGAGATCCTCTCCTACAAACAACTAGTCAGAAATGTTTGTCTTTATGGTTAGAAAACTGTAAAGTCCCTTCTTGAATACACTTCCTGAGGGGTATTCTGCAGTTTTGGAGGTAACCGATATGAAAAGACAGCTTTGAAATCCCGTGATGCAGAGTCAGAAATCCTGGGTTGGAGGTGGTCACAGCCACTGCCTCTCGGGCCACGAGTGACCTGGGACAGGCTGTTTAACTCCTCCGAGAATCAGTTTCCTCTCTGAAAAATGGGTGTAATAATAACCTACTATTAAGTGAGATAATGCATGTGAAAGTATGTACAAATGTAAGGAATTATTAGTGCACGAAGCAAACATGATCCTTTTAAGGAGACCTGTTAAGTTGCAAAACCAAAAACTTCTGAAGCTCCAGGAACCGTTACCACAGGTGCAAACGGGGATGGTGTCACCCTCACAGGTCCCCCACTGTGACCATCTCCACATCTCCAGCAGTTGTGTTACAAAGACCAACAAAATCCCCCTAGCATTTGTTACCCCAGAGTGAGTGTGTTGAGAGAACGTACTAAGGAGAGAGGAAATACGCCTCAACTCATGTTTATGTTGGGCTCTCGATGGATTCATAAATGGACGAAGAAAAATGATACTGAAAACAATGTATTTTTGTGAAGCATTTGACGAAGCTCAACAATCGCTCTGAGAACAGCCTTAGCAGTGTGATGGCCTGTTCTCAGGGGTGATTTATATGCGGATAAAATACTCCTAACATCAGCAATAAGAACTGGGGGGTTGGGAGAGTGACTAGAAAGGTGTATAAGAGGTATTTTTTGAGACTGTGTAAACCCCACTAGAATCTGTGTTTTAGAATAGAATGTGATTGCGTATCTCAGGCAAAGGCATCTCAAGTTACAATGCAGTAAACGTTATCACTAGGGCTGTGAAGTGACGGGAGTAGCATAGGTACCATAGGTACCTAGTTAGCTGGGTGTACTTCATGTGTGAGCCTTTCTAACTAACCTAAGGTAACCCTACCAATGGAGTCATTTCCTGGGCTCAGCCTCCCAATATAAAGTACAAAGCGTTGAAGGGGAGGGGTTGTTCCAGTGTTCCTATATCCTTTTGCCTTGGCCCAAGGCTGCCTGGGGTGCAGAATCCTCCTGAGATGCTCCATCCATCTCTCTCCGCTGCCTCCTGCTAGCAGCAACACTCAGGCTTTGCTAATCATGTTGAAGGGACTCTAGCAATTTTTGTTGGCACTTAGGAGGCACCTTCTATTTTTAACATATCTTTCCACAAATGTTCCAGATTAGAAGTGGACGCTGATCAAATTCACGGGTCAACTTCAATCCTTCCTTTCACTTGTCTTTACAGATGAAGCTTTTTGAAATTTATTATTGGCCAAAAGGGGAACATAGACCAAGGCACTGAGGATTCTATCTTGTTTTTTGGGAGCAGCAGGGAGGCTCTGAAAATACTCAAGGAAAACCTGGGGCATTCTATTGAAGAAAATAAACTCCCTGAAGGGGAGGCTTGGCCAAGGGATTTACTTGTTTTTATAAATCTGTTTCCCCAGTGACTATGGTAATGGAGGTGTTTCTTGAATTGTGGTAAATGCACCTCGTAAAATGGACGGCCTGGGCTGTATTCTCAGGCTTCCTGGGCTCTGTCAGCGTTGGGCAAGCACCTAATCCCTGGATTGAGGCTGGAAGCCAAAGCCACAACCTTCTTGCCTAAAGGCAAGAGCAAGTACCAATTGAGCCATATGGAGATTAATGCAGAACAAGGTCATTAGTCTCATTGTTTATCCAGTTACTTGCAGCACAGATCTGTGTAAGTTTCAGCTACGGGGCTTGCAGCCTGCCTTTGATGTGTGTCATCTGTATGTTCTAGTGCTCCAGGAAAGTGCCTGACTGACAGGATCCACATCCAATGCCCAGAAAACACATCTTACACAAGTACAGTGAAGCGTGGAGCTGAACAATTTTCCAGTAGTTTCATCAAAGTAAATAAACCAACCTGAAGGGTCAGGATTGAGCCTCCTTTGTCCTCACGCCATGACTTTTGGGTGTCCTTGGCGGATTTGTATTGTTTTCATTTGAAACTGGGTAACTGCTTTAAATCTTCATTTAGCTCTCAGAGGAAGGAGTTGACCTACGTAACATTTGACCTTGAGGATGCCTGCTTTTTTTAAGCACTCTGTCCATAAAAACAGATGCATTAAGTAAGATTATCTTTACTAATGTACACATTTCTCCAAGACACAACCAGTTTCCAGTTCTTTCCTTCACTCCGTCTCGCTTGTGCGGCTGTGCTTAAACTCAGAATGAACAATTATGGGAGTGAATTCAAAAGGTGGAGAGAGCCAGTGCAAGTAGTTCAGGCTACAAAATTGTCATCTGGCTCAATGAAACACTGTTTTTTGGCAACAGTGAAGCTAATTTGCCTTATCTGAATTTGACTTAAAGGTCCTGCAATCCCACTCTGCCAGTTAACAAATGTCTTGAGTCTGCTTCCCTTAGGTTAAGTCAGCAGAAAGCAGGGGACAGAGATAAATTACTATCCTATGAAGTTAGACAGTAATTTTCGACTGCTAGTTCAGATAACTACAGACTCCCAGATATATTTTGAGGCTTGAATTATCCAGATACTTGATTGTTGTAGTTCGAATTCTCTGGATACTTTTTAGATTTTCTTACTTTGTATCTCACAGTGGCTGAGGCAGACAGACCTGGCTGCAGCTCCAGCTCTCCCACGGTTAGCTCTCTTGCTCTCCGGCGTAGCCTCCTAACTAGTCTCTAGCTTCCACTATTTTTTATTTTTATTTTTATTGTTTTTGAGACAGGATCTCACTCTGCCACCCACGCTAGAGTGCAGTGGCATCGTAGCTCACTGCAGCCTCAAACTCCTGGGCTCAAGCATTGCTCCTGCCTCAGCCTCCAGAGTAGCTGGGACCACAGGCATGTGCCACCGTGCCTGGCTAATTTTTCTATTTTTTTTTTTTGTAGAGACGGGGTCTCGCTCTTGCTCAGGCTGGTCTTGAAATCCTGAGGTCAAGCCATCCTCCCGCCTCAGCCTCCCAGAGTGCTGGGATTACAGGCGTGAGCCACCGCGCCCGGCCTCGGCTTCCACCATTACTGAGTTCCACGCATGCCCAGAACAGTCCACGCCTCGTGGAATATCGAAAGTCATCCTTTAACACTTGCTAGTTGTGGCTTCTAAGTCTCTCTGTGAACTGGTGCCTGGCTTCCTCTTGCTCACCGCTCCCCAGTGTGCAAAGCACTCTTGTGCACACACACACCCCCTTGGTCCTTTACTTGTTGCTTCTGCCCAGAAGCTCCTGGCCGGGTGGATGTTCACAGGGCTCACTCCCTGACTTCACCCAGGTTCTGCTCAGATGACCACTTTTTCTTAGACCTTGCCATCTTAAAAATAGACACCCTTCACCCCAATTCTAGTCACTCTCCACTCTTGTGGGCAGGACTGTCACTGCCTGGCATAGTTTTTGTACTTACAGTGGTTGTTTATTAGCTTTCTCTCCTACAGGAACATGTTCTATGAGGGGAGGGACTTTGTTGTGTTGTATCCTCACTGCCTACAACAGGTCTTGGTGCACAGAAAATATGCTAGAAAGATGGTTGTGGTAAGTATTTAACATAGCCTTTGAACCCTCAGCTTCCTTCTCTGCAATACATCCCTTACGGAAGATAGTAAATAATTGATATAAAATTACCTGGAACACAGCAGATCTACTCAGTAGGCGGTAACTATAATTGTATAGTCAACGCTGCCAATAGAAATACAGTGCAGGTCACGTATGTAATTTTAACTTAAAAAGCTAGAAAGAAAGACTAATTTTAATAATATATTTTATTCAACCTAAATGTTGAAATTATTACCATTTCAACATATAATCATTATAAAAACTTATTAATGAAGATTTTACATTCTTTTCTCATATTTAGTGTCTGAAATCCAGTGCGCACTTTACTTACAGCACATGTTGGCTCAAACCGGTCACATCGTGAATGTTTGGTAGAATGACACGTTTTTGTCTGATTCATCTTTGTAACCCCCATAGTGCTTTGCACATGTCCCTGAAAACAGTAGAAGATCAAAAATGTATCAAAGAATATCATAACACTATGTTCTTATATACTATTTTTCATGATAAATGCAGACCTTCGACTTTCTGGAGTGTGAATTAGGTCTCTGTGAACTAGCTGGAGATTATAATCATCTTTTCAGTACCCCGTAACGGCACTTTGCACATATTAGATGTACAGTGAATAGTCGTGTTTCAAGTGTGTTGCTGAATTGCTTGAGTATTTTTTCTACATTCAAAATAATAGATTTACCCTTGAACTTTAGGAAATGTGTAAGTTGAAGATTTTCTGTATTACATTTTCTAGAATAACTTTCTCCTGCCCAGATAGCTGCCAAACTCGCAGTGCTGTAAGAGTCACGCAGGATCAAAGGTTCCTCAGGAAATCTGAGACGTGGAGAGTGCCCGCTCCCACGGCAGACGTGATTTTCAGGTGCCCTTCCTCTACTGCTTCTCGGGACACGTGCACAGACAGTAAGCTTCCTCCATCCTGTGCTTGAAATTTTCACAAAAGTACCTGAATTAAGGCATTAACCTTAGGCCTAGGCAAACGCTTTATAGTTGCAAAAGTCAGTCCTCCGCCATTTCAGAGATTTAAACCCCGATGCAATAAGAGGATGAAGGTGAACAAAACAGAGCAGGGCCATTTCCTAGAAGAAGTGGGTAAAGAACCTTCTGGTGAGAGATCTGCCTCCAAGGCCTCGATGTGCTTTTGTGTTAGAGAAGCATTACTTGGAATTAAGTGCACGGACCTGTTATCCTTTACTGTGGCTTTAAAATTGACCTATAGATTCTTTCATCAGAAGTACAGAAAGTGAAGGATTAAGCTTATGCCACCACTGAAGTGAAGGGTGTTTAAGAGAAAAAGTTAAGTGTATTAATGATCGCTGAAATTATTTTGCCAACAAGAATGCTAAAAACATATTCAAAAGACTCTCAGTCAGATATTCAAAGAAGCATTTTTTTTTAACTTTGAATGGTCTAACTGTTGGAACTATGGATTTATTGAATGAATTCTAATAGAGCCAGATGATGAAACACTCTGCAGCTATGAGAGTGATGCTGTGTAATTATTTTTATTCACATGAAAAGATGTTAGTGATATCATATTGCTTAGTGGGAAAAAAAGGCAGGTTGTAAGAGACCAAGTATAATCATGACTCATTTTTAAAAATCCATCTCTACATGTTATTTATCAGAGTGTAAACTCTGTTAGAGCAGGGGCCCCATCTTGTTGACCATGATATACCTGGTGTCTAGAACAATTCCTGGCACACGGTAGGCACTTTAGGAACTTTGACCACATCTAGAAGGATAAACACTAAAATACGAACCGTTTTCTCCAAATAGCAGAGCCATGAGTGATTTTTATTTTCTTCTTTGTGTTTTTAAAAAATTCAAATGCAATGAAACAACATTATTAAAGTAGTAAGATAAAAATTTAAATACAACATCATAAAAAATATTTTTAAGACAGTAGAGCTGATCCTAGGGAATTCTGACAAGAACAACAGCAACGAGGAACCAGGAGCAGGGTTGGAGCCATGGCCTCACAGAGGACACGATTTCAGGGCCACCTGGTGGACACACGGAAGTTAATACAAAGGGACTGTGGTAGTTTGTGGCAATCAGAAAGATGGGCCTTTTTTTGAAAGGTAAAATTTAAACACAGGAAATGCACAGGTCTTAAGTGTACAATTCAATGTGTTTTGATTACTATATATAGCTGTGAAACCATCACTCCAATCAAGATACAGAACATTTCAATCACCCAAAATTTCCCCTATGAGATGAACTTTTTTTTTTTTTTTGAAACAGAGTCTCACTCTGTCACCCTGGCTAGAGTGCAGTGGCGTCAGCCTTGCTCACAGCAACCTCCAACTCCTGGGCTCAAGCTATCCTCCTGCCTCAGCCTCCATAATAGCTGGGACTACAGGCGATTGCAACCACACCTGGCTAATTTTCCTATTTTTTGTGGAGACAGAGTCTCGCTCTTGCTCAGGCTGGTCTCGAACTCCCGAGCTCAAGTGATCCTCCTGCCTTGGCCTCCCAGAGTGCTAGGATTACAGGCGCAAGCCTCTGCGCGCGGTGGAGATGAACTTGTTTTGAAGCAACTTTTGAAGGTGCATTTTTGGTGAAATGTCGCTTGTCGTTAGTGTGTCGTTTTCTCTTACTGGCAGTTTTGGACATATTCCTTCAACTCCCTGTGACTTTCTCCATCTGTAAAACTTGTCAGCTTAGAGGATGAGTTTCTAGGAAATATGCTAATCCTGTTATGTGCTCTAGGAAGGAGAGAAATAGAACTCAGGTTATTAGCTTGACTATCAAAGTGCTGAGTTGAAATTCAGTAAATTTAGTAAGATAATTTGCAGTATGGATTGTTTTTCAGGGTAATAGATGAAATGACGTCTGTGGTCCCAACAGCAGAGAGGAGGGGTCTTGGTTGCTCCAGACATGCACGTGTGGGGGAGGGGGCTGTGGGAACAAGTGACGAAGGGAGTGATCTCCAGAGGCAGCTCTGTGCAGAGACGTGGGAATGCCAGGCTCCTTGGTGGGTGCAGAAACACAGCACAGCAACACCACGATCCGTGCACTTTCCCAGCACCCGCCTCCCAGGCTTGGCATTCCTCTGGCCTCTGCCTGCTCCCGTCCACTGCGTGCATGCAGCTAAACACAGCAAGCAGGAACATCTCTTGGCTGTGGCACAAAACTGTACTTACTGTAAAAAGAGAGCATTTCCTGAATTTCTTTTATGGGAAGCGTTAAAAAATGCAGACAGGACGTAGTCTGACGTTTTTTCCCTTCATTGTGAAATAACTGAAGTTCCTCTCTCTCTCTCTCTCTCTCTCGCTCTCTAAGATAAACCTCACCTTTCAGGAAGGGCAGAATTTCATCAACTTAAATATAGGTTCGGAGGTCCATGCCGGA